AGCCACAGCTTCCCACATGTACTCCGGAGAAGAGGCAGTCCTTTGACCAATGCACTCAACCGTTCTACAGCCGATACCGTATGCTACCGATAACTCTCATCAATGAAATGGACAATATGGACCAGGTAAGTCAAGAAAGGCGCTAGTTTTAAATTTGAAAAACTTCTTTAATTCCCCAATATGTCAGGTATGTGCGGATGTGTCGATCATGGATGGTTGTTCGATATCCACAAGGATATGCTCCACCCCCGAACAAACGGCTTTGAAGAAGATGATTGAGCAGTTGTGTGCTTCAAGGCAGGCATATGACCACTATAAGATCTGCTTGAAAACTGTTGCCACCAGTCAGCAGGTATCTCTGTTTAATTTGCTAGAAAATGTAGAACAAAATTCACGAAAATATTTTACGAAAAATTTCGGCACTTATTTGATGCATCTTCCGTAAATTTCTCCCCAAAATTCAAAATTCTTCTGTTGTATTGGTTTCGAAGATCCATTCCTCAGGGAACCTCATGCACTTCGGAATTCATGTCGTCAACCCCAGGAAGCCGTTGCTCATCCTTACAAAATGCTGCAAATTGCATAGCGAAACAGGTACGCATCCTTCCCTCCTTGAACAAGTTCCTTTTTTTTTCCTAGATAAAATAATTTAAGGTACGCGACTCGTGTGGTGACGATGCTTTGACTTATTCCTTTGCTGCAATGAATGATTACGCAAGAATGATTGATGGAAAATGCAGGGTAAATATAGCGGTTGATCATATTGAAAACACGAAATAATATTGACAAACTCCAGATCGATAAACCATCAGTATCGATTGCGACGGGATGCTCGGAGCAAGATATGGTCGCATACCTATCATGCGAAAGCTCCATCGATCCCTTCAGCTTCCGACCCATTTCCATCATTGGGTGAGTAAGACAACATTGCGCCATACATACTATTATTATCGATTGACTAGGCGATAAAGGTGGATAATGAGATTTTCAGCGATGGCTCCAAATGGGACGAGATGTGTACGGCATTTGC